TGGCATGAACTTGCAATGAACATGAAATGCACTGAAAAGAAAATGAAACTGGCAATGACAAAGGACATGAAGAACATGAACACGCAACGAAAATAAAATGAAATGGGCGTGAAAAGAACGAGAAGTATGAAAATGAAAATGGCATTGATATGAGTTGAAAAGAAAATGAACACGGCAAGTGCAAAGAAAGTGACCATGAAATGAACATGAAAATGAAAGTGCAAATGGACAGGAAATGGAAAGGATATGAAACTGAAAATCACATGAAACGAGAAAGAACAATAAGAAAAATCAAAGTGAAAATGAAACTGGCATGAACATGAAATCCAAATGAAAATGATAATGGTGATGGTGATGGTGATGATGATGATGATGATGATGATGATGTTGGTGTGGAGGAGGATGAGGATGAGGATGAGGATGAGGATGAGGATGAGGATGAGGATGAGGATGAGGATGAGGATGAGGATGAGGATGAGGATGAGGATGATAATGCGGAAGATGAAGTGGAAGATGATGATGTCAAGGAGGAGGAAGATGATGATGTTGAGAAGGAGGATGGTGATGATGTTGAGGATGACAATGTTGAGGAAGATGATGAAAAGGATGATAATGTTGATGTTGCGGAACATGAGGTGGAGGTTGATGATGCTGATGATGATGAGGTCAAGGAGGAAAATGATGATGTTGAGAATGATGAGAATGATGATGTTGAGGAGCACAGTCGAAATGCACTTCACAAGAGCCACTTTTTACAGAAAAACACAGGTCAAATGCTGCGCCCCGGCTGGAGCACCCTTTTTTTCAGCACCGGTCTTTACACTCTCACCGTATACGAAGCCCTCAGTGTGGACACTGTTGACCAACGGAACCAACGGAAGGAATTTGTGCTGATCCACTGACATCTGTCCGTAACTCGAAAGCGAGCAAGGACGAAACTTTCTGAATAGTAAACGCTAAAGAAGATCCAAATGTATACCTTAGATTCAAACTACAATTAATTCACTTTATATCAAAAATGTTCCATGAGTTTCCTGTCCTAACAAAACATTGGGATTGCGTCCACAATCCTGGGGATGTCAATGGACTTTGTCGGAATGGTGTGTATCTTGTAAATATCCCAGTCATCTTTCTGGCTACAAAAAAGCTCTGTTGTCTGTATTTGGATGGTATAATGTGCATTCTTAGTTAAAACTCAAAAAAATATTCAGGTTAATCTCAATTTTGCCTAGTCTTCTCGTGGCAAGATTACCCTCTGGTGAACTAACATTTTGCCATGGAAAATGGCCATAGAAATAGTGGATTTTCCCATGAAAAATGGTGGATTTTTCCATAGCAAAATGTTAGTTCACCAGAGGGTAAACCCAATGTGAAAAACCCAATGTTGGATGGCTCACACGCAATTGTTCAACCTTTGGGGGATACTTTGAAAGATTCATACCCAAATCTGCCCCCGTATTTTTGGATGGTAAGCCCAAAAAAATGTTCAATGGCGAAACCTTAATAACTTGACGGCTAAATCACTCTTCTTTGATTGCTAAATAGCTTTTGTCTGCTATCTATATATATATGCTATTCTATAGATAAACTCCTTAAAATGTCTTCAAATTTCTGACAAAAAAATCCTTGAACAATTCCTATAAACATGCTATATTTTTATATTAGCCTTCCTTGGAGTCCAAAAATCCCATTGGATTTTCCGCAGCGTTCCGCACCTCCGAGCACCAGGACCGGCGGTGCCCGCACTCAGCGTGCTGAGTTCGGAGCCTTGGCGCCTCGGACGCCGGAAACGGGAAACGATGGGCCGCCATTTTTGTGGCCGAAAAAACGATGGTTTATGGGGATAAAATAGTGGATTAATGGATAAAATAATGGATTTTAATGGATTTTCATGGATTTTAATGGATTTTTCCATCATACCCTCTGGTTATGACATGTTATGACTATCCCCATTTATCGAAATAGATGGTTTACCCTCTGGTAAACATACAAAAAACTATGGAAAGATCCACCATTTTTTATGGGAACATCCACTATTGCTATGGGTTTACCGAACTTGAACATGGTGGATCTTCCCATGGCAAACTGTGAATGTCATAACCAGAGGGTAATAGGTATGTACCCTCTGGTAATTTCACATAGCTATTGAAAATGGCCATAGAAATAGTTGATTTACCCAGCTACAAAATGGTGGATCTTTCCATGGTTATGTAAACGTTTACCAGAGGGTAGATGGTGACTACCGAACTAAAGAATGGCTGGATTTTCCATGGCAAACTGTGAATGTCATAACCAAATGGTACATAAGGTGGATAGTATAGGATAGAACTGGATAGAATTGTTTTTTCGTATGATATTTTTCATGGTAGAATAGGGTGATAATTCTGATACCAACAAAAATGTTGGTAGAATGGGGACAGAATAAAATCATTTCACATAGTTGTGGAAAATCATCACAGTTTCAATGGCTATCAGCACGTCATTTTCCGATTCCATAGCTATGTTGAGTTAGCGCAGGATATATGTTCCATAGATTCCATAGATTCATAGATTCATTTTCCATCCATAGCTAGTTCCAAGAATAGATCCACCACAATTCATCGACTTGGACCATCGAAGCATTGCTGTAGGGTCGATTTCACCATCCGATTTGGGGGGATACATGGGAAATCGCACTACATGGAGGTTGTTTTTGGAAAAAAGTATGGAAAAACATCTGAGGATTTTTCGCAAGTGATATACTTTGGTAAACGTTTACAGTTTGCGAAGTTGAAGCCATGGCCCAGTCGAAATACTTGATTTACCCAGCTATAAAATGGTGGATCTGTCCATAGTTTTTTGTTTGTTTACCAGAGGGTAGATTCAGAGATTTCCAGATTCCACAAATCTCAGTTGGGTTGGACCACCTCGATTTTAATTCACGAGTCATTGGCTTGTTTGAAAGGAAAAATACAGGAAACGTCATGAAACTATGATTTGTACCTCAAAAGAAAATGTTTCTTTGGCTTCAACCTCTGAATCATTCCAACTCACTTCTACTAGTAACTAACCATATCTTCGATCGGAGAGAGATGGGAAATTCATCGCAGATCAGCTCCCCCCCTTTGGGCATCGAAAAAAAAATCGGAAAAAAACATCACCATGTCATCAGCTCCATCATACTGTGGATGGAGGAAATCCTGCACCAGTTGGTAACTAATGGGAACTATAAAACACTGTAAATAATGGGATTACAATGGGATAAACCATCTACTAACTGGTGCAGGATTTCCTCCATCCACAGTATGTCGTCCCCATATATCCCCACGCCCAGAGGTTTCTGTGAAACAAAGGACATGATCTCCAGACTTTTCTCAGCGCCCAAATTCACAAAGGACCAAGTGGTGGCGCCCACCATATCCTGGCGTTTCGTGGGGTCAATGGACCCTGGGTGGACCAGGCTGCCATCCTTTGGTCCGGAAATCATGGGAAAACCCACTAGATAAAGGTGGGAAAACCTGGGAAACTCATCATGTTCTATGGGGAAAATTGGAAAATTCAGTGTTCGAAGTGAGGAAAACACATGTCAAACCAACCAGAGAATATACCAGCTAAGGGTGGCCGCATCTGGAGGTCACTGGTCAACATCCGACGTCAGAAAATCGTGGCCGAAAGAAGTGGTGAAAAAAGAAGGATGGCGAATAAATTGGTCACACACACAAATTGGTTGTTTAGTCTATCACTTGCAAAGTGAATTGGTATTTTTTGGGAGAATCCATAGAATACACTATTCACCTTGGATATCCTTTGTGTGGTTGCGCAGTGACTCAGGGCAAAGAGGCAGATATGCCTTCAATAGCCACAGAGGTTGAATGTTATACGAGTGTACCCCATTGTGTGTTCTTCATGCGAATTGCCGGAAATTGTGAGCGGAGATGCTCTTTTCAGACACAACCTATCATATTATTGGCTGAATTTGAGTCCCAATAAAACGTCCTTTTTAGGTACATTTACATATATACTTATACATACGGGGTGTGTGTGTGTGTGATATATATAATCTAAATACGCAAATGGTCCTCATAAAATGGTTGCCGAAAAAGATGTTGGGAGCAGAGAGCTCGAAAAGGACAAAACCACAGTGACCTTGTCAGTTTGGGTGTCCAATCAATCTTTCCAAAAAAAAAAAAGTAATGGTGTCCATTCGTCCATTCCATTTTCCACAAACAAAATGGTTTCCGGTCCGCTTCCACCTCCATCTCGGATCCAATCCTGCAAGGCCATTTTGAGAAACCGCCCTAATGGATCCATTTTATCAGATCTGAATGGATGTGCAAATGGCATATTTATCCTCTGGTAAACTAACCTAACTATGGAAAATCACCATGTTTAATGGGAAAGTTCACTGTAAATGGCCATTTTCAATAGCTATGTTAAATTACCAGAGGCTAATGTATGTTCATGATATGTTGAATGGGAAGTAATGGGAAGTGTTGACATTATCGATATCAAATAATCACTCATGATGATATTTATGATATATTAACTCAGACACAATGGATCCTTCTTCCCGTACTAATCTACAGTCGTCCCAAAAAAAATACAAAAGAATGATGTTATCTTAGGAGGGATTTACGTTTCTATATCTTTTGGGGGATAACTATAAGCTGGCAGTGAAAAAAAAACAAAACATGCGTTTTCATTATTTATCCATCCCGCCATACTTCTAGATGATCTTCTCAGTCATCCCAAAGAAATGGAAAATCGCTAGCATTTGGACCATTTCCCTGCAAAAAAAAACATGCAGTATAACCATAATTTACCGAGGCTTGAATGATACAATTGGCATGTATGATGATATGATATGGTATGATGTATATGATAAGTGAAATACAGCCATATCAGCAATTGATAAATGATGGGCAATTCATGATTCCCTGGGCTTCCTGAAAGGAGGACCCCACATGATTTCTGGGAGGCGCCCATTTCAAGAAATTCTCGAAATGGTACACACAAATTTGAACCCCAACATTGGTTGTAGATCCCACTATAAATATCCTCATTGTTGACTTGGGTTCCATAATTTCGGGATCAAAAAACAGCTGGTTGGGAAAAAAAAACATGGGAAATTCCCCCAACAAAAATGGATTCCCCTAACAAGTCACGCGGGTTATCCATTTCAATAGGATTTTCCATTATAAACCAACCATTTTTGGGATACCCTCTGGTAAACATACAAAAAACTATGGAAAGATCCACCATTTTCAATGGTTAAATCCACTATAAATCACCATTTTCAATAGCTATGTTAGTTTACCAGAGGGTAGCCCCATGACTTAGGAAACCCCCAACTAAGCCACTAAGCATTGGCGCCTGGTGTCACGGTCAGCGGAAAGTTCCCCAGCACCTCTCCGGACCTCCATGTTGCCCTGTGACGTTCGCTGATCGTGTCGACCAACCCGGGAAAAAAGAAAAAAAACATGGGTTGATTGGAATAAAAATATGGTTTTAATGATGCTTAATGATGTTTAATGATATCTTAATGATGTTTGATGAAGGTTCTAGTATGTTAATATATGTTATAGCCCCTAGTGTTCTTATTTTTATTAATGGGTTTCCGGGTTCAAAATGTGTAAATGTTATTTTGTGGCGTCTCTTGCAGGTCTCTCTGGGAAACCTATTTTTTGGTCGGAGTTCAAAGCCCTTTATGAATGGTAGTTACAGTCTAGTCTTTGTTTTCTGTTTTTCGTTGTCTACATAGGGGTGTGTCTGAAAATAGTGTACCCCTAAACCCAATGCTTAATGATCATTATCCCTATTAAATGGCTATTTCATTGGGAATATACCCTATTTTCAGACATTGGATTTCCAGCCTCCAGAAATGGGGAGGAAACAGCACATCTGAAGCGGGGAAACTTCTGAATGTGCTGCCCGACAGTTACTGGTGTCCCAAAACCATCACCATTTTCTTTGCCAGCAACCCGTCAGCTTCCCAGTCCCGAAATTTCAGAAACATTCAGAAACACCAACAGATCATCAGTTGCCATTGCGGTCATTAAGCATCAAGAATCAATTTGATACGTGTGGGTTTGAGCGTCATCAACGGTTGATGCTGTGATTCCACCTAACTGATCCAGGTGGATTGGGTCATGGGGTGAATCCCCGGCCAAAATCACTGGGCTTCCCCGGCCAACTCGGCCAAGTTGAAGCTGGAGGCATCTGCATCCGTGTCCTGCTGACATGGGTCATCCAGACACTGGTGGGAAAAAAAAAAACTCGACTTGGGATCAACCCCCCCCCTTTCCTGAGATGATTTCGATAAGCATCACCCAACTTTTGCGGTGTCTAAGGGTCTAAGAGTCTAACAAAATCAACAAAAAAGTATTTTTTAAAAAGTCATCTGTCTGAATCTGTCCCAGCAGAAATGGCTTTCCCCTGTCTCTTGATCAGAATTCATCAAGGAACCCGAGAACCACTGGTGCAACTCCTCATCTCCGGAGAGTTCCTGGCGTCGCCAGCTGCGTGCTAAGAAGCGCAGCAAAAACACGAACGAAACACCGGTGTTTCCACGAGGGGCACTGCAGAAGAAAGAGAAATCCGGACGGTGCCATGCTTTGCTGGTCAAAATCATGCACGGCTTGGTGAACATCATCATCGGCAAAAACTTATTCCGTCGTTCTCTTCATGGTTCATCCAAAAATGTTCACCAATATTGCGATGGGTCTTCCGACCCTGGTTGTGAAGTAGACATCAAAATAGCTGGTAATGTAAATTTCATCCATCCCAAATTTGTCATTAGTTTTGACCTATCCCCATGTGTGTGATGGTCAAAACATGCAAAACATGGTGGTCCTATGGCAATCTACTACGATCATTTTTATGGTGATCCAAAGTTAATGGATGTGTTTAATCACTTACCATCTGGTTATGACTAACAGTTTGTCATGGAAAAGTCCACCATTTTTAATAGGTAAACCATCTATTTCGATCAGGGTCATCTATACCATGGCGAAGTGTGAACGTCATAACCAGAGGGTAATGGATCTTTGTAATCAATGTGCATTGATGACCATCCCCCACTGGCAAATAACCCATGTAACTTCACCCATCTCCCCTTGCTATGTCTTGGGGGATGTAACTCGACCGAATGTTGCGAAATCCTGCAGTGGCTATTGATGCTTTATCTCGTGATAATATGCTATAATCATTTATAATCACATTATTGACAACAATATTTATGTTATAATCTCATATAGTTGCCGATAAGTATCAACTGGTGCAGATTTCGCAACCATCCACATCTGTGGCATCGCCGTCCAGCCTCGTCCCCCAGTTCATCAGCAGCCTGCGATGACGGACATGTTGGGCTTTGGGAAACAGGAGTACTTCGCAAATAGCATGGGGGTTTGACCAAAAAGAATATGATCAAAAAAAAACATTGAAAGTATTGAAAACCATTGAAAGTATTGAAAACCATTGAAAAAAAACATTGAAAACCATTGAAAAAATATTGAAACCATTGGTGTTCAATAGGTTCATTTTTTTTAATAACCATTAAAACCATTGAAAATCATTGAAAGCCATTAAACATCAATGATTGAACATGATTGAACCAGCAAAATGAATGAAGTAGAATAAAACGGATTCAAAATAAGCCTGGTGTCCGATAGTTTTAATTCAGCTAAGCCATTTCCTACTAATTTTTGGCGCTACTAGTAATTTTTCAAAAAGTTGTAGTTTTGCAGTGTTTGGCCTGTTTCTTGTGTGTGTGTGCGCTTTCCCGACACTTTATGGACTTTTATGTCACTTGTTCGCGTAGTTACGCAACTCGTGCATAGATTAGATCATTGAGGTTTCCAGTTTTGGAAGAAGTTGCCCCTTTTCTTGCTATATTTGATTAACATTAATTCACCCTCTCAATTCATCAGGGCTTCCTTCTGTTCAGTTGTACCAACCTCGTCAGCATTGACTCATCAAGAATTCAGCATCGAGCTGCTGACCCTTCACAGATCCCTCCCAGGTCTCTCCCAGGTCTCCGAACCAAAGTCTCAGCGTCACTGGCAACGAGCTCCTGGAAGCCGCCGGGCAATTGGAGATGGAAACATCTGGGAGCTTCATGGGATTCAACCATCAAAATCGCTGATTTCACCATCAAAACGACGGTAAAAGGGCCTCATCCCGCCACACCAAGGTGTCTAAAGTTTGGACGCCGTAATGGCTCCAACGTCTTAGGCGAATTTCCAGCTTCTTCAATTGCCACCTTTGAAGGTTAAAAGTTATACCCTTTGGTTATTCAACATAACCATGGAAAGTGGCCCATTTATTTCTAGATGGTGTACCTATTAAAAATGGTGGATCTTTCCATGGCTATGTTAAATAACCAAATGGTAATTATAACTTGGAAATGTGAGGTGAAATACTGTCTTTCAGGATTCAGAGTTGGCTCCTTTGAAAAGACTTGAAGGAGGCTACATGGGCCCTCTGTCCGTCACTTCCGGAGAATGGAACATCAGAGTAGAACTCACTACAACCAACAAAGGCAGGAGTTTAATGCTTCGTAAATATTACAAGGTGTCCCATCTATCCACATTATTTGATACATCTCGAAGCTGGCTTTAAGGTCAGCGCTGACGATGTATCATTAATTGAGGGTTTTGGTCCTCGGGGTCACATGTTTCCAAATTCTTTTCTGAGCAATAAATGTCTGAAACTTAAGTTTATCATGTGTTTGATTTATTGTTGACATAAAATTGACAAACCCATCAACATCCATCAACAGATAGATAAAACACAGAGTCATCAACTTATTGATGATTATGGTTATCATCAATTATGATTATTCCACATTATTCCTCTGGATTTTCCAATCTCATCAACGGTTGTTTGTTGCACCACGAAACAGTCAGGGGTGCTTCGTTTGTTGGGCCACGGAGCCGCCCAAACCGCCTTCGCGGCCCTGTTAAAAGGATCTGTCACGAGGATTTTTGTAGCTGCGATTGCTATCTGTAAGAATTTCGATGTGTTTCATTCATGTTGTCGTGTGCATAGGAGTGTTGTGCATAGGAGACAAAAAAAAAAACAAAAAAATGATCGACTTGACCAACATGAATCACTGACATATGAACTAACCCAGCCGCTGTTGATCCAACCAGCTGAAAATCCGACATCGAGTCCTCAAGTTGCGCGTTGCTCCCTACCTGGGTGCTGAGAATGACTCAAATTATTTTTCACTGCTGGTTGCCAGCTCTCAACAAATGTAAATACGGTTTAAAACTACATAGAATCTGCCTGGTTTTCACAAAAAAAATGATGAAAAATTGCTCTACAAAAAACAAAGAGCAAATGGACCGCCTGGATGTTCATCCATTGGTGTCACTAGTGGTGTTTTTCGGAGTCGACGGGTTAGTCAACAAGGGAGAATGGATTCCACTCCCTTCGATTCTTCTTTAAAATTGCACCCTTAAAACTTGGTTATTGGCACATTACCATTCTGAAAAACTTCTTCTAGATCCCAAAACTCATGGCCTTGGAATCAATTACTTGTTCACAGTCATTATACAGCAACTAAGCAATGCAAAATATCACTTCTGGCACCATCGGTCTGCCATCACCTCAAATGTATATATATATACATATCAAATATATTCAAATATAGCCATGGAAAAAAACGAACAGAGTTTCCAGGATGGTACTCATATATTCCAGGGTTTTCATTTTGGGGGCCTTGCTGTGTCGAAAACGTTTGAAACCACCAGGATTCCATGGGGCTGCCCGACAAGCCACACTGACAGTGGTTCCATGGACCAAATCAACCACCAGCAGCAGCAGCAGAAAACGTACTCTGATCCCTCCCTGGCGGGATCGTGGACTAAATGGATCATCTGATTTCATCTGATCTATTCAATGAATAGATGGACTTTTACCCTCTGGTAAACTAACAGATAGCATTTGAAAATTGCCATTGATAGTGGATTTACCCATTAAAAATGGTGGATCTGTTCAATTCGTTGCGTAAGCGTTTTCCAGAAGGTAACATGAGCATCGTACCAATGGGCTGTTCAACGGATCGATATGTCCTATGGACAAATGGGGTAAACAGACCCTTTGAAAATCGGTACAGACTGGTGCAGCAAACCATCCAATTTTGGGGATTTTGGGGTGATAATCTCGGCCTATCCCCATATGAAAAGGATTGAAAGGGTGTCTCATCTGCAAAGGATGTTGGTTTTACCACGCGGAATTGACATTTGATAAACAACAATGGGGATATTCAAGGGTGGGCTGTTGGAATGGGTCAAAGGCTAGTTTTCCCATATGGTTGGATGAACATGATGTGCTAAATTGATATGAGAAACAGGATACCGTTCTGCTTTGATCGCCAAATAATAGTGATCAAACAAACTGAAGTAAACATCGACATGTTTAGTAAAAGGCCATTTGGCTATAGATCAATAGCTATTTTCATACCATTTGTTAGGGGGTTATTCACATCCGTAAATCCCAGCTATTTTAATGGGTTCACTACAGGGGGCCCCAAGGTGACTTGACCCACTGCCATCCATTTTGGGATCCATTTTGGGTATATTGGACATCTCCTTATAGTAGTCATTATAGACCATCTACCTGGATCTACCTAATGGTTGGGTGATGTGAAACATGGGGACATAACTGACATAACTAATGACCCATGTTAGTAAAAGGCCATTTCAGAAATCCTACAGTCACCCTTTTGATGTACTGCTAGCAACCAGGGTTTATGAACCTCCGTTGACAGTTCTGCGGTGCCTGTGCCGTGACCATAGGAGCCTCCACGGTGACGGAAACAAAAATAGACCTTTGGGGAACATTTGGGATATGGGTATATAATATCATATTATTATATATAATGCTTGGGAATGCTTGGGATATCCCTCCCCCCAAAACCGACATTTTCAAGATTGTAACGCTTTTGGGATAGTTACCTTGTTCAGTTTGAGATCCAGTGGGGCAGTATCATACATATATATATGCATATATATATATATACATATATATATACATATGTATATTATTTGTTATCTTACTATTACTAAATCCATGTACTTAGAGTATTTTTTACAAGAAGTATTTGCAAACGTTTGCAAACGTTTGCAAACGTTCCTGATCAGGATTCAAGATTCAAGATTCCCAGAAAATCTTCTTGAATCCAAGGGGATAGGATTCAAGATTCAAGATTCCCAGAAAAACTTCTTGAATCCCAGGATTCAAGATTCAAGATTCCCAGAAAAACTTCTTGAATCCCAGGATTCAAGATTCAAGATTCCCAGAAAAACTCCTTGAATCCAAGGGGATAGGATTCAAGATTCAAGATTCCCAGAAAAACTTCTTGAATCCCAGGATTCAAGATTCAAGATTCCCAGAAAGAATTCTTGAATCCAAGGGGATAGGTCTTGAATCTTGAATCCTGGGATTCAAGAAGTTTTTCTGGGAATCTTGAATCTTGAATCTTGAATCCTATCCCCTTGGATTCAAGAATTCTTTCTGGGAATCTTGAATCTTGAATCTTTCTAAGTACTTGGGTCCCTGAACTCGTTTGCAAACGTTTGCAAACGCTTTTGGTGACAAAATTACTCTAAGTACCTGGGTTCAACAGTAAGACAACAATTAATATATACGTATATATACATATATATTGTACATGAGTTAAATAATGACTTTGAAGTGGAATTTCATCAGGTAATGGCATTTGTTGAAACAGTTTATCTGCAATTACAATATTACAACTCAAAACACATTGACAAATAATCACTTGCAGATTTTGATTCTCTTGTCCATATATCAAAAATATTGTTATATGAAAAATATCTTTACAGATATTGTTAAATAGTTGAGTTACTAAACCGTCTGCAAGGTTATATGTTTTATATTTTATTAGGTAAGATATAAACTCAATTTCATCTTGTAATGTTTGTTTTAAGACATTCACATATATTTTTGCATCATTAATATCAATTGTTTTTGGTAAAGAGATTTGTGAATTATTGAGTAATTCATGTGCTATCATTCCATAAAAAGGTGCACAGTATTTTGAAGCCCTTTATAATATTTTTGACAGTGCATGATATTTTAGATGTTGCATATTTTGCATGCAAATATACATAAAATAGGAATGTCTACTTATTTGATTTGGTGATGTAGCAATCGCATCTATATAAGAAAAATGCTTTAGTGCAATATTATATTTTTTTAAATTTTACAAGTGCTATAAATCCTGCCAAGTTATGTATTTTTATATATTGTCAATATATGTTATATTTTTGATAGCTTGATTAAGTAATTTGTAGGCAAGAGTGTATTTTTTAAATACTAATAGTTCCCTTGCATAGCATATTCTTAAGTTAGTACAATTTTCTATATATATTGTCTCTTGAAAAGATGGGTTTAATATAGGAGCTAAATTTTGTTCTATTCTATATGGGTTTAGACGTATATAGACATAGATCTTTTCGGGAAAATAAATAATCAAAAATTAATCCTTAATTATATTGATGCTTATTATAATGTTATGATACATGTTTGTGCTTTGAGTATGATTTTGCTTTATTAAAATGCGACATTGCACTATCCTTTTATCCATATCTTTTAAACAACTGAAGAAATAAGAACTAGTAAAATTTCATTGGTTTTGTAGTAATAGATTGTCGAGTTTAATTAAGGGATTTTTATAAGATATATATCTAGATATATATTTTCTTGCTAGCGTTTAAAGCAGTTTTGCCAATCATTTTTAATCCAACTATTTATAGCAAGAGCTTTATTTATTTTTATTTTTTGGTAGATTGTAAAAATTGTGTGTATGTAATTAAAACAATAAGCAAGCAGAAAAAAAAACAAAAAACATACAAAAATAACATGTTTTAGATATTTTGGCACAATTTGAATCACCAGTTTTTTTTCCCATCTGTTTCTAGTTCTTCTTCAGAGAATATGGATATATTTATTAGTGGCTCAAAAAAATGAAATAACTATGGTGGAAGGATGTGGAATGGAATTTCCAGAAGACAGATTATTAAATATCTTAGATGAGGCTTTAAAGCTTTTTACTCCAGTTCTAAACTTGATATTAGATATGAAATCTAAAATATCAAAAATAGAGTTTATTTCCAATATTCCTCTAGATTCTCATGTTGCTCAACGTAATTGTCAGAAGAAATCGAAAATCACTCCAGTATACTTATTTTAAAAAGCACGCTATTTACTCAGTCTTCAAAACAAGAAAGAGAAAAACGTCGGTTTTGGGGGGGGGGCTAGCATATATATATATATATGTGTGTGTTGGCTTTGTCTGTTCGCAAACATTTTTTGGGGTCAAATTCAGCTCGAAAGCTCTGGCCAGCCTCGGCTGGCCAGCCAAAAGGCCGCCTCAAACCTCGCCAGGGCAGGACGGGAGAAGCACGTGACAGAGGCAACTTTGAGACGTGTCTATGACAAAGCTGGGTGATCGTTGAAATTGTATGACTTACTGGTGCTAAACGCAGGGAATGGATGGGAGTGATCCATAATCACTAATCATCATCCCAGAAACCCCCAGCCCCATCCATTCCCTACGTTTAGCACCAGTAAGATGAAATTGGCAAATCACCACAATCAGGTCAAATTCCGTAGTCAGTGTCAAGTCATATAATATCATATAATCATCGTACTCATGCTGGTAGATCATCAAGTCAGCCGTGTGTTCAAAAGACGGAAATGTATCACGATCTACTCATGAACTCCTGATAATCCACACAAACTTGTTGGCTTGCCTGTTGAAACGATTGAAACTGCTGGTTTCTCAGCTTTCCCGGACGTCAAGGGCTAAATTTGGACCCCACAAGTTGCTGTTCATCGCTGTCCCCACCACTTTTATGGGCGAAATCCCGTGGTAAATCCACAGATTGGAAGAATTTGACCTGCCCCTGGTGAATGTTTTCGGTCCTGAAGTCCCCCCTGGCCCGGTTTGGACCGCCCAAAATGGAATGTCCCCACCCCCTCTGTACCAAGCGTCGGAAAAGCCGCAAGGATGCAGCTCAAGTGGATCTGGCAAATCTACCTCCCCACCCAAAAACCAGCTTTCAGTGGAAAAAATCCACCATTTTTGAATAGGTAAATCATGGTAAATCCACGTATTACATCACCATTTTCAATGGTGATTTTTGTATGTTCACCAGTGGAAAGTTAACGCGGCTGGCTGAAGTTAAAATGTCCAAAACAAACAGATAGCTTCGTGCTAGACGCCACCGATCTACCGCCTAAGATCCGCATTGTCCTGAAATTGGCAAACAACATGGTGGATGCACTAAATTGCGTGGGCCAGTGACTAAAATCATTTATCAATACTGGAAATGCAAGCATTTGCCTATCTGGTCGGTGGCTTCAACCCCCCTCAAATATGAAAGTCAGCTAGGACTATGATTCCCAATATATGGAAAGTCATAAAATTCCATGGTTCCAAACCACCAACCAGCGATTAGATGTGAAAATGAACGACGCTTATTAATTTACTCTCGTACCTGATAATTCATCCCAAGTATCGATTCTGGGAGATCAAATGTAGAGTATCCCAGAAGATACCCTGAACTGTAAAGTGTGAAAAGCATGGGCTATTCGACAATGTCATGTGCAGAAATATGTTAACTGTTAAAACATGTTAAAACATAGTTTCTCTAGATGATCGAAAGAAGGAAAAGAACTCCTCCACATTGTTGGAAAAACCTGCGAAACGCTTCATTTTCTCAAAGACATGGTGAACTCCCCAACTTTTCCAGAGCACTTGTGTTACCGCTGGGCCAGTGGATTTGCCGTTTGGAGCCGACATGATCGGCGTCCACATCGATGGTGGATCTCCCCTTCCCACTGGTTTTCCCAAAACTCGCTGTGAGTCAAAGCGGCACCTGGATGGTACCCTGAGATAGATGCTGTATGTTCATTCTGTCATATGGTACGGTGGATGGTACCCTTCAGAATCCTGCATCAATTTTGGGATGGTTTATCCCAGTATCCCATCATCAAAAAGGCTTTAGTTCCCAATAGTTCCCCTGGATGGTCCATCCACGGTACCGCCCAGGCCTTTAGCTTAGCGGAAAGGTTCACCGCCTTCCCGGTGAGCCCCGGTTGAGCCGATGGCCACACGGCGTTCCGACCTCCAGGACCTGGCCCTGCAGACATGAAGTGATACGAGGGGGGAAACTGGCTGAAAGTGGACCTAGTATAGAATGTATGTGTATATATATATGTATATAATATATATATATATATAATATTATAATATTATATATATATCAAATCATATCGGTATATATGATAAGACACTTCCCCCCAGTGGCAAATATTTTACTACAATATAGGTAAAACCAACTCTGCAGCACTTTCACAATACCGCAAAACCTCAATTCGTTTCGTTCTACATGATGGGCGATCTTTAGCCTAAATCAATGAAAAATGGACAATCTGGTTTCTCATAGATCTGGGTTTGTCTGAAAATGGTATACACGAATCCAAACCCTCATGTTTTTTGGTTTCGCCATTTGGGGCATCCACCACCATGACACCATGACATCGCTGAAAGTGGCATCGCTTTTGACCGGTAAACCATCTATAAATGGTGATTTTCCATGGCTATTTTAAATAGCCAGATGGTAGGGGACCTTTGTGTCATTTCAACCAGGAGTCCCCTGGTTTACACACTCAACGACTCGCATGTCACTCTCCCGTACCCGTTTTTCATCATAGACCTGTCATTGACCAATTGCTCGTTCAACCGGGGCGCGTTCCGTGAACCTACCAAGTCCAAGAATGGGAAAGGAAACTCTACAGGGTTTACTCCGAATTGGCTCACCAGAACTCGCAAACCTTTTTTTCGGCTCAAACGCTCCACCGACGCAAGTCGTTACGTCTTGGACAGTGATGCCCCTGGCGCGTTCTCAAAATTGCCGAGGAAAAGCCCTACTTGTGGAATGGGAAACCACAGTAATTTTAGATACCCGTGATATGGCCAAAATGGACAAATCCCATACTCAATCAGGGTTCTGGGGGTGTTTTTCAACACTAAGAGAATGATACAATTATTGAGGTTCCGGCCGTCCGACGGATTAGGTATTTTGATATAAGACCATTCTTAATTTGGGACCACTGCCTGGAGTTACCCCATGCTTGGTAGAAAATGGTAGAAATGTCTACTGTTGTGTCCTTGTTGTATTTTTGCTTGAAGAATGTCTGATGATTCTGGCTTATCAAGATGTTTAGGAAACAAACTTCCGTGTCGCGGAGATCTGAGAAGTCAGACTCAGAGCAAACAAGAGAAGAGCAGAAAAGAGCGGAGAAAAAGAGCAAGGAAAAAAGAGGTTCGAAGAAAGAGCAGAGTAGAAAGGAAAATAAAGAGAGCAGAGTACAGTAGAAGAGAGAAAAAGAGCCCAGAAAGGAGTAAAGACAGCTGTGGGACAAGAGGAGAAGAAAAAGTAGAGGGAAAAAAGAGACAGGAGTAGAAATGAGAGCAGGGGAAAGAGAAGATAGCTGAAAGAAATGTGAAGAGAACAGGTCTCACAAACATTCGATAGCAACACTCTTTTGCCCGCTAGGCCACGGGTGCTTACCTGCTTACCTCCTGAAACTTCTGCCGTCCGTGCGCCGGGGTTCTACTTGTCACATGATATACGGTATATCACGTTGGACTGACTGGGAAAGGCAACACTTCGGGATGGTTTAGGCGTCGTAAGTTCCATAGTTTCTGCTTTCCTCTAAATTGTTCTTGGCAGGTTGGGGATTCCGCTTGGGTTTCAAGACATGGCTTGGTCAAAAATGAAACCTCATGTTCCCATGTGTTCCCATATGTTCCGCCAAAACTTGAAGTATCCAATGGCCTACAATATTGTAATGTTGGTAAAACAATGTTATAAACCACCCATGACTGGGAATGGTTTATACCATCCCACCTATATATTTACGATCATGACTGGGGGATAGGTTATGGCATTGCTTTACCCACATTACAGCCAATTTAATCACCATTTAATCATCATTAATCATCATTAATCACCATTAATCACCACTATTCACCATTTAATCATCATTAATCACCATTAATCACCATTAATAATCGTTATTGCTGCAATTATATTGAGCGTTAAATATTGTATATTGTATATACTATCATGTCGCCATTTCCAGACCAAGCCTGGAGGAAGCTCCAGATGTCCCAGCGGCCCCCGAAGGCCGAAGGGGGAGTTGTCCGCCTTGGCGGGTTGGGACGGCGCAACGGGACCCGCTGGGATGTTGTCTGTGCACTTGGATCTTTTGAAAATGAAAGAATGAAAATGAATGAAAATTCAATAAGTTAATGAAAAAAATGTGGCATAGGGCTGTTTCACTGGTTGGAGCTTTTTATCTCATCGAGATCTCATAAAACTCATTTTTTTCACTGGTCCTGAAACCCGCGTTCTGAAACACCCTTCCTCTCCAGGTGAAAGACAGCGTCTCGTAGTCCTGCCCGAGGAAAGCTCGCCATGAGCGCCCTGCAAAACATACAAGCAGCTGACTGTGCAACAATCACTGGAAGCTTTCGGTTTAGATGTCCGAGGCCGGCCTCAAAAAAAAAACATACCTGCAGTCACCGCAAAGTTCCACTTAAAATTCACAGACTGCTCTTGAAGTGGTACATGAACATAAAAGAAGGGTCCCTTGTTTTGAGAAAACAAAGATCACCAATCACTTCTTGCAATTTCCTCTCCTATACCGGTACTTCAACTAGGTGTTTTGTGCAAAACATTCGACATGGGTCATGGGACTTCTGGGAATTCTACAGAAATTCTATGATGTGTTAGAATATCTTAATCTTGGAATTGTATGGGCTATTGTATGGGCTATTCGAGTGATATTTCTTGCTTCACCTCCAGCTACCATCAGTAACAAGGAGGCGTCGCCTTGTTGGAGGAACCCTCGTCCCAATGCTTGAAAGTAAAATATCATATTTAGATGTGTTTAAAAAATCAGAATGTCAGAATTATTTGGAACTATGTCAGATGTCTAGCGGGGATCACTCGAAAGTATTGGTTTGGGAATTCACCCTTACATACTGATAGTTGGAGATGAATTGGAGAAATCACCCTGTTTTCAGACACGCATTATGACTGCTTCAAGTAATGTCAACCCCGGATTAATAAACCATGGTTTATGAAAATTAGGGGGGTACTCCTCCAATAGTCATTTCATCCAATACTTCAATGGTACCCCCCCAATTAACCAGCCGTTTGGGGTTTATTAATCCAGGGTTGACATTAACAGGAGCTTCAAACAACAAGACTTTGCTGCTGAGGCAGTGACTTCGTGTCATGCTTGCGGAAAGCTCGAGACGAGGCCCCCGTGTATTACCTGCAGCGGAAAGCTGATTCACATCAGCCGCACCACAGTCTACCGGTAGCAGCGGGGGAAAAATTGACATCTGCCGTTCCAGTCAAATTCAGCGTAAACTCCCAGAAATCCAGATAAAGTGGCACATGTTGCCACTGAAAACGTCAAAGACAACCAACGACCTCCTGCAATTTTGTTCCACCTGAGGCCATTATCATCCATTATCATCCATTATCTACACACCAACCACGTCATCGCAGTGTTAACCAAGTGCGAAATTGAACCAGGAAAACCGTTTCTTTTTTACGGGCCTTGAATGGTGTTGAACTTGTGCGAACTTGTTAAACCTTTCAAGCAAACCAATGTACGTTTAGTTTATTAGTGCGGCCTTTTATTATGGATCATCTGCCGGGAACAGATAGTCCCCGCAAGGGGGTCAATTGCTGGTGTTTGGGATTCATGATGATTCATGGAAATGAACAAACCACAACCCAAAGCTGCCAAAGGCCCAAAGTCAAGTCGAGACTTCATGAAAATTCTGGCCTCCCCGCTTTCTGCGACCCTCTCCAAGACCGACGCTGAGCGCAACATGCCGCAGCGCGAGAGACAACATAACTCGATGGTGTCATGGCATCATAGCAGAGGTGGAATTCCAACGTGGCGCGCACCTGGCAGGAAAGGCTGTGTAGTATTGTGTGGTACTGTGTGAATTCTTGGCACATCTGAGGATGCCCTGATGATTTTTGGTCGTTTAGATCCATTTAGTTCACTTGGGGCAACTGGCAATTTAGTTCGCGCCTTGGCCCTTTCAGGGAAATGATGGAAACGCGTCAGAGATCAGAATTTCCAACTGAGATTGGACCCCCCTTATCTTCTTGGTGTTGGATAATTTTGGCAACTTTGATTCGAGAAACTAGAATCTACTTGACTGCTAGGGTGTCTCATGTTCAGGTCCACCCGACTCTGGAAATCGCCCATGTCATACTAGATGAACTAACTAATGAAGGCAGAAATTGCGCGACTCAACTTGCCCCCAGGTCACCCAGCCTGCGGCGTGTCTGTTTCCCTCACACGATGCTGACTGGCAATTGCCAGTGGTGCATCATGGTGCATCCATCAACATCATCAACTGCTGGATCTTTGGATAAACCGTGGCTGGTGGCAGTTGTGACTTCCTCGTTGACACGGACGGATCAACCGAAAGGATCCGAAAGGACAATCGAAACAACATGGAGTATGCGAAGGACGGTCGTCTTGCACGGCTTTCGATTTTCATGGGCTGAACTGGGCTTCGAAAATCGAATGGAAGGGATTTGTCCAGAAAACTTCAGGTGCTGGCTTTCAGGAGCATCTTACAGCACTCTATGACTACATGCTTCGGAGCAGATCATCCACCATCCTCAGGGTCAACGTCCCTGAGTTTGATCTTTATCCAAAAGCTGACCCTCTCAACCCGTCGGCCCAAACCCAGGTGGGCCAAGCTGGCCAAGCTTATCGACACATCTGTCAGTGCTTGTGTCTTCCTCCGTAACAGCGCCGTAGCTTTGAAAAAAAAACATGTTGTTCAGGCAATGTGCGTCTTTACAAAACGCAAAGCCCAGAGATGTTTTGAAATTCCTTGTAGTTTCACGCAGGAATCCATGGGTTTCATTACAAGGATTTCAGTAAGCAGCGGAGAAATGCCCAACTCACCATCATCGCATGTGAAAGTTTACCACTAATTGGACATGTATATCTCTCCATTTCTTCCTGACTGTTTGTGCTGCAACGCTTTTCCCAACTTTTTGAACGGATGAACGGTGAGATTTCATGAACATCGTGGCAATCAATAGGAAATTGCAAAGGGGAATTCACATCCCAGAGAAATTCAATAATGTTGGAATGCTGGACTAACATTGAAACATGCAGACCATCCCAGTCCCATGTTGAGTTTCCGGAATTGTGTTTGGTTCTTTTTCCGGCGTGGCACTGTTCCAGGCTTATGTGGGGTATGCTTAAACAGGCAAGGTACGGAAACGGCTTCAGACCCCGAGGGCTGAAGGTCTACTTCAATCTAACATTTCTATACATTTCTTATGTTTAGCTTAGCCTCCTACAAAACCAGTAAAGACTTTTTGGGTCTACACCAAACACATCTGCCGCGGTCAAACGGATTTGACTCACAATGGGATCCCACATGAAGGTGAAAAACCGGGCTGCTTAGCTCTGACTTTCGCAACACTTTTGCCGACCTGTCTGTTTTCGCCACATGTGGCTCATTGCAGCTGAATTGCGGCAGTTTTCACGAAAGATACTCTACTCATTGGCCTGTGCTTTTGCAGCTGAACCAAAAACCCTTTCCCAGGAGCAGCAAACTCTCCAGCTTTTGCGAGCTCCACATGAACCCATCGAATTTTTCCTCAAATATCCTCAAATGATTAATTCAATGGGGACAATGGGTTTCGATCATGGGAGCCTTGGAGGTGCCTCGGATGAGCCGCCACGAATGTGGATACAGCCCCGTACGGAAAATGTGTTTCCCAAAAACCGGTCGGTTTGGACTTGCGAAACACCTGCGGTCACCTGCGCAAGTCGACCCCTCGCAAAACATCTTTGCGATTCCGTCAAGGCAAACAAATTACAAGAACTGAGCAGGTCCAATGGATCTGAGTGGATCTGGGTAAGCCGATGACGAAATGTTGCTGCAATCATCAAATCCTGATCCACTCAGAGGTTGCCGCTGTGAACTTGAAATCAATTGCACGAAATCGAGGAAATGGGGTCTCTAACACCTCATAATGGTGGGTTTGAAATGGTACTCAGGTGTTTTCATTATACGATATTATTTACACTGTTTCTTCGTGGAATTCTTGAAGCTTTGGGAGGTTTTGCCACTAGTCTATCATGCTCACTTTGCCGTCACCATGGTTCGCTGGACTCTTGCGAAACTGTCACACGTTCTCGACAAATAAGTGTCACTCATCCGTAGGAGCCATGCTGAGATCAGCAGATTGCCTCGAAATAAACCAGAGTCAAAGCTGATGTCTGAGCAAATCCCATCCATCTTCTGCAAGTCGATCGATGACTATTTCATGACAGTCGCAAGTTGAGCATTTTGAGCTATCTCGAGTGGCATATGAGCGCAGCTTCATCGCAGGATTCTCGCGCGATTCCATGTTCTCCAAAATCTGTGAATACCTTATCTGACGTGCCTCGCAAACTTCTCCACAAGGCTGAGACATTTTGGACAGCCTATGGCATGGCACATGACGAGCTACGGATGGTCTGAACGATGGTCTGCAAGTCCTGAGCGTTCCTCCCTGGCCCAAGACATGGATGACGGACAGCCGTGACGCTGACGCTAAAACGACGCTGTCAGGTCGGCTTGCGAAGCTCACCAGACACACTGTCCGCAGCTTTGGGCACTTTTTTAACCTTGGACATACAGTTCAATCATATTTCAGCCATAGTTCAGTCACACTGTGGATGGAAGAAATCCTGCACTACCTTGGAGTAGAAAGCCTATATGGGTGTTGATCAAAATAAAGGTATCTGAGGCAGCTATACAATCGCCGATCAACCACGAATCAACCGCGATCCGAACGGTGTCAATCGGGAGGGTTCTGTCGTATGCAACATTATTTTGCTCAGAGAATCGTCAAAACATTGCTACATGTCACAGTATCTAACATGGCGTGAGCCAGGGCCTACCCAGGCAGGTATAGCAATCGTGGGGCAATCGCGGATCAACCGCGAACCAATCGCGGATTTCATCGACATGTTCTGAAAATTGATTTGATCTGGGTTGTTAGCCTTTGTTCTGATTCTTCTTTGCTATTAGCTATCACTATTGAACACAGTGTCTCGGCAGACCCAAATACAGTATACGGCTGAAATGTAATATAATTATCATGCCATTTAAAATATATAATTGTTGATTTTCCTCTTGCAATAGTCGGTTCTTCTACAACACATATTTGTCTCAATCGCGAACCAATCGCCGATCAATCGCGACGCAGGGTTTCACAATCGCGAATGCTGAAGTACACATGCCCTTTCACAATTCCTTGGACTTGCATTTGCAATCGGCTCCACTATATAATGGGGCAAACCACCTACGGGGAGTACTCTTTGCCTGCAATAAATTCTGCAAGAAATGCTCAAAGCACTCTGCTGCTA